AAAAGCTGGAATAAAATATAAGGTTGATCATAGGAGTCATTTGTTGTGGTTTTTTGTATGAATATAGTAATCGTAGTGTTTGTTTGTTTTCTTTATCTTCCCAAAGTTAGCCGCTCTGTCTGGCCAGTAACGGTCATCTCCGTAGCCGCTCAACCCAAGCTTTAACTGTTTGTTTCATAACGAGTTCACAATAAGCTTTAATAGGAAATATTTCTGCATCACGCATTCTTCATCAGCCACGAATACTTCTTCCTACATACTTTGAAGCCCTTTCACCTTCATCATCATTAGTTTTGTAGCTCGTTTATTTTCATTATCATCTTCATCATTCTTCAGTTCATTCCTTTCCCTGTGAACAGTTTTCGGTCAAGTACTGGTTATGCATTGGTATTCTGTAGTATATTTATCCTTACGCGTTGCTTTTTAAGGGTTTCTTTAGTGTAGAGGCTTTCTATGGTATCACTCCGCAGTTCTCTTATATAAAGAAGTTTCAAAGAACTCATCATGTTAATTACCGAGAATAGTCTGGACTAAGCACAAAACACATACTAAAAATCAGAGACAGACTTTTGCTTCTCTTCGGGGTTTTGGCAATTAGGACCGACAGAGACTTTTCTCTGACCTCTTTTTTCAGTTTGCGCTCTCTGCAACTTGTATCCCGTTATGGTTGCATCAACATCTGTTGCGATGGTAGCATGTCGAGCATTTTGCCACTTTACACTTGAAAGCAAGCTTTGGATTTCTGATGCCTCTGTCATCTGTCCTCCGAGATATGTGGGGTCTGGCGTGGCCAGGTGGTTAAGGTGCTCAACTAGCAATCTGCGAATCGCAGGTTCGAATCTCCCTCCCACCAAACACGCTCGCCCTTTCAGCCGTGGGCGCGTCATAATGTGACGGTCAATCCCACTATTCCTTGGTAAAATAGTAGGCCAAGAGTTGGCGGTGGGTGGTGATGACTAGCTGCCTTCCCTCAAGCCTTACACTGCTAAATTAGGGACGACTAGCGCAGATAGCCTCGTGTAGCTTTGCGCGAAATTCAAAACAAACCCCAATATTCGTTGGTAAAACAGTATCACCAAAGTTGTTATCCAACTCACTAGCTTTTTAAAAAGAGGGAAGTTTGCAAGTAGTGCACTTAACTTTGTTATCCAACTCACTTGCTTTTTAAACAATGGGAAGTTTGCAAATAGTGCACTTAACTTTGTTATCCAACTCACTTGCTTTTTAAACAATGGGAAGTTTGCAAATAGTGCACTTAACTTTGTTATCCAACTCACTTGCTTTTTAAACAATGGGAAGTTTGCAAATAGTGCACTTAACTAAAAAACTTGCACGGACCTGTGTTTCTCAGCAGGAGAGAGAGTACGTTTAACCACAGCACGTTCAGCAACTGCTGTAGAGCTGCTACAATACTACTAACTAAAAAAACTTGCACAGATGAAACCTTCGAGAGAGTTTGGCGGCAGAAGAGTACGTTTAACAACATTGAACAAGTCAATTAGGCCTATAACATTCGTGATTCGATGTGAATGAAAGTTTGATCATAAAATCGGGACGCATAAAACGTCCCGAGAACTTTTCTCGAGACACTGGGACAAACTACTAAAAAAAAAACGTGAATGTCTCGGCATAACCGCGACATCTGGTTACCTTAAGTATAGAAAAAAAACACACCAAAAAACCGATTTAAAGACATCTGCGTATAACTCGAAAATAGATAAAAAACATCAAAAGGCACAAGTATTATATGTAATATATGTAGGTACTAGAGTATCATCACACAATCCGCAAAATATTTAGTAACCGATTTAATACAGAGTAAATGTTAAATAGCATCTATAGCATCTATCGTAACAAAGATAGGGAATTTACAAGTTCTTCCTTGCTATGTAGCTGCATGTTAGAAATAACGGTGATTATTAATTAAAACCTCTCAAGAAAGACACTTTTTGCTGCAAACACATCCCCAGACACTTATAAATATTTCTTCATACATACGCTCATAACGTATAATAAAAACACCAAAAATGTAATTACGCTTTCACTGTTTCAGTTATTGTCTTGAGCTTGTCCACTATTAGCCCGAATAAAATCAATGAACTGGAAAGAAAGTCATAGAATGCAAAGACATAAATATTACTATTTTTCATTAAAATTCCTCAAAGTTAAATGACT